ACACACAAACACACAAACACACAAACACACAAACACACAAACACACAAACACACAAACACACAAACACACAAACACACAAACACACAAACACACAAACACACAAACACACAAACACACAAACACACAAACACACAAACACACAAACACACAAACACACAAACACACACAAACACACAAACACACAAACACACAAACACACAAACACACAAACACACAAAACACACAAACACACAAACACACACAACACACACACACACACACACACACACACACACACACACACACACACACACACACACACACACACACACACACACACACACACACACACACACACACACACACACACACACACACACACACACACACACACACACACACACACACACACACACACACACACACACACACACACACACACACACACACACACACACACACAAACAAACACACACACACACACACATCCCACGGGCAATACTACTAGATCGGTTTCGGGTGGTCCCCCAATCGGTGTTGCAGTTGTCGGGTGGACATGGCTATGTTTGATCAGTTGTGGTTGCAGATGTTGCAAAGAGAATCGCCTTCAACACCATCTGTAGTATCAATTTTACTTGCCCTCAAAAAGGCTTGAAGAAGGGGTTGCCCCAGCGGTCCTTCTTGGGAAGAGTTTCGCTGTAACAAGCCAGAAAAGCGGCGCCACCAGGCTCCGGCTCATGCCGAAGCCGCGAATCCGTGCCAGGCCCAAAGATCTGGCCTGTGGGGTGCTCAAGCACCAGGTGCTCCCCTCTTAAACCCGAAAATGCCGGGGCACCGCTCCCCTTGTGGGGATTCCCCGTGAAATCAGCCCGAAAAAGAAAAAAAGAAAGAAGGGCGCCCAAGTCTTTTTTTCCCTTTGGATGTCTGAGAAGTAGGCACCAGGAACCTCCCCACGTGGGTTCCGGTGGTGACGCGAGTGTTGGCACACTTTAAATCCCGTTTCGTTTGGTGGGTGCGAAATTGCGAAAGATGGAAGTGCTATCATCACACAAAAACGGTGCCTTTGTTCTACCGTCACTGGGAAACTGAGAGCAAAGGTACCCCCAGCATTGGTGTATGCAGTTGGTTGGTGTTGCTGCTTACCTGGAGTATACTTGTTTGTTTTCGGTCTTGGTCCAAATGCCACAACTTCAATTCGGACTTGTGCAAACCCGGATGGCGAAAGCCAGCCGTATGTTCTCCTTCAGGGATCGTTCCCAGAAAATGGATTCCTCGAAAGAAGAGTAAATAGGCTTCTTGTGAACAGTTGAAGGATGAGTGCAAGGAAAGGGGAAGGACACTGGATTGGCCTACCAAGGCAAAGAAATAGTTGGCACACCGAAGAACAACGTGCACAACTTGATGCGGTTTCTGCAACTTGTTTCCATCGTTCGGTCTTTTTTGATCTAGTTCATTCATCTTGCCCAAGCCAAGCATTTTTGCTTCCTTTCCAGTTGGGCCGCAGAGGGATCTTCTGGGAGGGATGACGCGGGTCCTTGTTCGTCCATTTGTGGGAACAGGTCACATTCGCCATGGTTGCACTTCTGACAGGGCGATCGTTATGGCAACAGTATAGGAACCTCACCAACCAAAAGTTGTTCAAGTACGAAGCTTTAAATAGGGAACCTTGTTCTGAGCAAGTTGATTAACTCTTACCCTCTCCGGCAATCATTGAAGTGGACAGGAGGGGTTTGGAAGACCTTCCTTTTGAAGGGCCCTTGTCCAGATCAGATCTCATCCACCAAAGGCAAGGCAAGAGAGCAGATCAGGCTTTGTGTCGATCGGGTCACGCGACTCTTCATCCAAGCCCTTTGCGGATTGCTCTTACCTCGGGTCGCAGAATGAAAGCGGATCGGAATCTTACTTGTTTTTTGGTGTACTCTGTGGTTGGACCAAGTTTTGGCCATGATCCAAGAATCAACCACCCTTGTCACTGAATCGAAGCAAGCCCACTTTTCTAGTTGAGGGTAGATCAATTTGGGGGGTTTCCTTCGCGGGTTCGCGAACCGGTTCGCGATCAATGATCAGTTTAAGAAAGCAAGATTCAACTGGCTGAGCCCAACTGCAACCAGCTCCTCTTGGTTCAGGACGGTTGGAGTCCCTTTCGGGCCAGTTTGATGGCTTGAGGCCTTGCTGCTGGCGGCTGCAGAAGAGGCAAGCCGGAGAACGTGCAACGGGGGAGCAGCTTGCGGCAAGTCATGCCGTTGAGTCAGAACCGTTTTGGGATCCCATTTTGGGGCAGGTGAGTTCACCACCCATTTTAGAACCTATTTCAGTGGGGATTGGTTGATGTTCACTGGGGGCAAACCGATTTGGATTTTGACCCATGGCCATATGCATGGCCATGAATGCCTTTTTTGCCTCGGGTGGAAGCTCGGCGCGTGGCTGATGGGCTTGTGCCGGCGGGCTCCAAATTTGGCCCCAAACAAGACCCCCCTGCAACAGAGAAGGTGTGGATGTCTGAACACCAGCATTGATCTTGGAGAAAAATAGATACCTCGAGCTTAAACAAAAAAAGAGGTTTTGCGCGCCAATGATGAAGGTTCGTTTTGTGAGTGAATTGTCATAGCCAGACTTGTTCTAGGGGCCAGTTGTTGCATGCTAGTTGCTCAAGGCTCGAGTCGGATTGGACAGTCATAAGACCAGGCCTGAGATAACTGGCAGCTCTGTTTTCCGAACCCTTGAAAAGCAGATGTCATTCACTGTGGACCTACGCACGGTAGAGACTGGTTCTTCGGAATCTAGACAGCAACACAGTTTCCTGGGTATAAGAATGAGTAGAAGGGCTTGTATGAATCCTAAACAGAGGGACGGATGTTACCAGACATCCGACTACATGGTTACCTTAGCTTTTGCGGCTTTCCCTTGCGTTGGGTTTGTGCTTCTCAGCAAACACACGCGCAGCCGGAGCCATGGTGCGGTTCTTGTTGTTCTTGTCCATGGTGCTGGCGTCTGCCAAGCCCCACATCCTCTTCGTGCTGGTGGACGACCTTGGCTGGGCCAATGTGGGTTTCAACTTGGAGCAGCCCAATCCTGAAGTGGTCACTCCAAATTTGGACGCTCAAGTTTAAATGGCTGTGGTTGTCAAAACCAATGGTACCATTTCGGGGTAAATGCACCACCCATTTTAGTCTAGTTTAGTGGGGATGTTCACTGAGGGTACGGGCTTTTGACCCATGTCTAAAAGTTTAAAGTTCATCAATCATGGCGGCGATGCTTTGCGGAGAGTACTTAAGATTTGAATATGGCCAAAGGCCCTGCTTGGGTCAGTTCTGCAGGGCAGGGATCATGCCGTTTTCGCTCTGTTCACCGCCCAGGACAGTTTGGTGGCGAGCGGCATCCATTTGAAGCGGCACTACGTGCACAAGGCCTGCACGCCCACCCGCACGTCTGTACAGTCTGGGCGCTTGCCAGTGCACGTCAACCCCGAGCTGGGGGATGTGTGTGCTGACAACACGGGCATCCCCTACAACATGACGGGGCTGGCGGAGAAGATGAAGCAACCCAGCAGCCGTGTTCCCTTTTTTGGGAAGGGGTTCCAGTACTTGGTGGCTCCCAGCCATCCCCTTAGCTCTTTTAGCCTTTTAGTGTTTAGTGGTACTTTCCATTTATCCCACTAAAAGTTAGTCACTTTTAGTGGGGGATCTGAGGGCAGCCCAGATTAACATCAACTAACAAAACAAGTTTTTGTTTGGCCTGTGGCCACTGGACCTCTGAGGCAAGGAGGGTACAAGACCCATTTTGCAGGCAAGTGGGATGCTGGTATGGCGACTCCTGCGCATACACCCCATGGCCGGGGTTACGACACCAGCTTGAATTATTTTAGCCACAAGAACGACTTCTACAGCCAAGCCAACATGCAGACGTGCTGCGAGGACGATCAATCCATCATTGATTTCTGGCGAACTGATCGTGGTGCATCGGATGTGAACAGCACCGACTACTCCGAGTTTTTGTATCAAAAGGACTGGCATGCCTCAGTTTCCCTTTTTGAACCCCCAAAAGTTGCACCAAAGTAGCAGTGGTTTGGACCTAGCAGCAAACTCTAATTTGATCAGGAGTTGGTCGGGATCGTGGAGCGCCATGATCCGGCTGTGCCTTTGTTTCTATTCTACGCACCTCATGTGGCACATTGCCCGTTACAGGTGCCTCGCGCATATTATGACAAGTTCAACTTCATGACGGACGATGAGAGCACTTGTATCCTGACCCAGTGGTACCCTTTCTTCTTTTCGGGGCCGGGCTTCGTTTCAACATCCAACAAACACGGGCGAGGGCGGTACCTTTGTTCATGGCCAGACATGGCTGACATGTTTGCCCTTTTGCCCACTTGGGTTTCCTTGATGAATGTTTCTTTTTGACCAACAAGAAGTGAACGTTATTGCAGGGGTCCAAGTCTGGCCACTTGTTTGCCCATTGGAATGCACTGGGCAGGTAGCCGGCAAACGGTGAAAGGGCTTCACCCCATCGACCCGGCTCACCCGAACTTGGAGTACAAATGCCGACAGCAGCATGCGGCCATGATCATGATCATGGACGAGGTGACTCAATAATGTCTATGAATAGCTTCCATTTGCTTTAGAGTATTGTTTATTTGCCCCTGTTCGTTTTACAGGGAATCTATCACTACCGGACATATGTTTTACTTTTTCTCCAGGTGGATTAAGCCAATGGAAGATCATGTTCATGAGGAATACCCTTCCAAATGGTTCGGTGGACAGAAATCCCCGCGAGAGGGTCGAAGCACTTACACAAATCACGGCCAAATCGCTTTCGAAGAGTTGGGAGGTTGGTTTTTGCAACACCCAGAATCAGAGGGCACTTTAACAGGGGCCTGCCGGGTGGGGCGGGGGTTGCCCTTTTAGTTTGGTACCCCCTTCTTGGACGCAACACAACCCAACTGGCGTTGGGAACTGCACAAAGAAGAGGGCAGCATCCCAGAACAATTCCTTGTTAACAAGCAAGACGGACACCACGTCTCGGTTGCTCAGCATATTGGTGTGCGTGTGTGTATATGTGTTTCTTGAGTGTCCTTCTCAGGGTTGGTTAAAAAGGCGAGAACCCTCAGTTTTGGGGCCTTCCTATTTGTGACACATATTTTATGTCGTGAATTCCCGGTTGCTTTCCGCTGCAGCTAGGTGGTTGTTTCATTTTGTCTGCAGCCAGGTGGTGGGCAACCTCACCGGCGCCCTGAAGTCCAAGGGCATGTGGGAGAATCTTGCCCGCACCGGTTTTTGCTGGGCGTGCAGCGGTGCGGTGATGGTTTGGTGCTCTTGCGGACGATTTTTTCGGGGTTCCTTGGTCTCAAAGTGTTTGGCATGGCAGCGCGCCAGACTGGCCGCCAGACTGAGGTCCACCTTAGGTCCCGAACCAAAAAAGGCTTGGTGTTGCAAGGACTCCCCCGGAATGGAAAGGAGCGCCCTGGTGAGATCCCCCAAGAAGCCGGAAGTAAGCCTTCGGAGCTGCTTGGGACGATGTCCTTTTGGGGAAAACCATGGGGTCTAAACAGGGCTCCGCAAAAGATCTCCATTTTTCAACCAGTTGAAACATGTTGCCTTTTCAACACCGAAATAAAGGGAAACCACCATCTACAAGTTGCAATGTTCAGGTGTATAATGTAAGGATCCCTGCTAACATGGCTGCAGTCCTTTTGGCGTTCATGTAAATACCGACCAACGGTAGTCCACCATTTTGAGACACGGCCCTCATGGTATGCTTCTGGGGGGTAGCGAAGGGGGAAATTCGGCATTTTTTGGGGTTCCTTTTTTGGGCCCTCGGTTTGTCTCTTTTGTAAGGGTAGGGTGGTTTAAAGGAAAACCACAAGGACCATCACCATTTTGCTTTGTCCCCTACAAAGGACATAGCCCCATATCCATCGACCAACAAACATGGCTTGGTGTACGTTTGACCCCTTCTGGAAGACTGCTTTCCTCGAAGGCTCTGTGCACTTCCATGGGAGGCTACCCCTTTCTATTGGCACGGAAACCTTAGGGTGTGTGGGTTCAGTCTTGCGGGGGAACTCATCCATTTTTGGAGGTTGCCAGTTTGTTTGGTTGCCCTATTTTTTTGCGTTTCCCTACATTTTGGGTTCCCCTATTTGTTGGGTTCCCCATTTGTTGCGTTCCCCATTTGTTGGGTTCCCCTTTTGCTTTTGGTTTCAGAGGGACACCGGCTATTTTTTGCGGGCTTCCGTTTGACATACCCTGTTCAATTTGACACATGGATGTGTCTCACAGTATTGGACCCAAAACAAAGAAATCCTCTGGTTTTCCTTGGGGTTCTCCCCAGATTTTTTTTGACACATACCCGGTTGGCTGGTTTAAAAGGGACACCAGCCGGTCTTCTGGGTTCCCGTATTCTTTCGGTTCTCCTTTTTGTGTAAAAGGGACACAAGTCATTTTGGGGATTCCCCTATTTTGACATATAGCCTGTGGGTTCAAGGAACACTCTCATGATCTTCTCCTCCGACAACGGCGGCCCCGTCCATTTGCCGGAGAACGCCGCCTCCAACTGGCCCCTGCGGGGCGGGAAGTACGGCTTCTTCGAGGGCGGCATCCGCGTGCCTGCATTCGTCGCCGGTGGACCCTCGGTGCCGCGCGGTGGCCTCGTTTCGTTTTCGGGACTTGGTGGTCGGATAGGGTTTCGTGTTTAAAGCGGAGCGGAGATAGCCCACTGGCCCCACTGGCCTCACAATTTGGTTGGCGGACGCCGAAATGATGTCCTGGGGGCGTATGGTGGGCCCAAAAGAGTGTGATTCAAGTCATATTCCTGTCCTGAGAAAAGGGCAGGTGACCAAGTGCTGACGAATCACACATTTTGTTTCTTGTAACAAAGAAGGAATTGTCTGACCTCTTATTTTTCGGCAACGCCTTTTAACCCTTTGCAGAATCCAGATCGCACAACCGCAGCCCGAGGATACGTTCCTTCGCAGCTTCACGGCACCAGCAACAGTGGCATGATCCTGGGCCTTATCATGGGATCTTTGCCCATCGATGTTTGAGGTTTCGTTTAGGCCAGCAAACCAATGAGCACTTGTGATTGTGCCCATTTTTGTTTCGGACGAGATTGTTGTACATGTAGAGACCAATGAAACTTGACATGTGGTGTAGGAGCCCCTACTCCTAAGGGTCCTTGTTTAGCTTCTAAGGACCCAC